GCGTACAACAAACGCATACAACAACGCATACAACAACGCAAACGAGATGGAACAAATGAGCAAAGGCGGTGCTCCCGAGACAATGAATGAGACGGACGGTGCAGGCGGCGCGGCGCGAACGATTCCGACAAAACAGAAACATGTTGCCAATGAGACAATCAAGTTCAAGTTCATTTATTAAGTTAACCCTGTGAGCCATTCAAGACAGACCAACAACACTATCGGAAGATTTTTTTTTTTATATTATTTTCGGCACCAAATCGTGGTGATCCAGTCACGGTGCCTGCCGATGACAGTTCAGACCCACGGACAGCGCTCGCAAATAGAGAGTGCAGTCAAACCCGAGCCCCACCCGTCTAGCCAGCCACACACTCACACTAGCCCTACTCGTCTAGCCAGCCACACACACTCACACGAGCCCTACTCGTCTAGCCAGCCACACACACTCACACGAGCCCTACTCGTCTAGCCAGCCACACACACTCACACGAGCCCTACCCATCTAGCCAACCAGATGCTAGCATTACCACTCGCCCAGAATTGTCCCTCGGTCCGCCTCTGCTGTCTCCTCTGCTGCCTCCCCGGCTATGCCCTGTTCACTCGTTGTGCAACGGCGTTGGCGGCGATCGCTCGAGTGGGCGCGGTACCGGGAAGAGCTTGAAGATCGGCAAGGGCTTGAGGCGCGGTCCGCCCCGCCACGCGGGCAGCAGCGGCACGTGGAGGTCGCGCAGGTACTGGGAGAACAGCACGATGAGAGCGATCGTCCTGGTGGGGGGAGCACGCACGGGGAATGAGGGGGGGCAGATAGAGAGATAAGACAACGGCCCAGTGGTGGCGTGTGAATTAAAGAGTGGGTTGGTAAGTGAGCGATCGAGTGAGTGAGCGATGAGCTGGGTTGGTGAGTGGATGAGTGACACGATACCCATCTGTGAAACACAGCGGCGCCTTCGTTCCTTTGCGACGATGATCGCTCTGCGCCGTCAACACGATAGCGCCAATACCACGTGTGCTACAATGCCACGTGTCGTGACGGGGTACTGCAAGATCCGACCGTGTCCGTCCAGTGCTCGCCGAGCTGAATTGGCTTCCGGTTGCTGAACGAATGCGTTGTAAGGTCGCACTCATTACACACAAAGTGCTTGCCACAAATGAACCACAATACCTCGCTGATCTCGTGAAGGAGCATAAACCATCACGCGAACTCCGGTCATCCTCGCAGCAGCTTTTGGCTCGCCGTGGAACAAAGACGGTCACTTTCAGATGCGCTTCTGCGGCTGTCTGGAACGCTCTTCTGATATTAGGAAGCCACTGGAGCAATGCACTTTTTTCTTTAGAAACATTTTTGTGTGTGTGTAGTTTGTTGTCCTTCCCCTGCACCTCTGATTAGCACGGTTGGCTACATACGGTGCGAAAGAAGTTGAACATAGAGACATAATCATCATCATTATTTATCAAGGTGGTCCACGTAGGCCGATTCACGGCCGTGTGAGTCGCGTGGGTAACTGGGGGCGCAGCTGGCGGGCGCCATGGTGGCGAGATGTTCACTACCTCGCCTAGTATACTGGAGGTTGTGGATTTTTCTCCGGGTCCTCCAGTTTTTCCCTCCACATTAAGAATCAACGTGCGTTTGGACTATTTGGCTGCTATTACTTTCCACATGATAAGCTATTTAGTTGAGCTATCACTCGTGGTCAAGTCGCTTCTGAAAGTGATCTACAAAACTCAGTGGTGCTTATCTGGTCAAATAAAAATAGTTGAATCGTAACACAACGACTACCGCACCCAACCTACGATCGCCAATTCGATTTGATCTTCCCGGTGCGGCAGTCGCGCAACTCGGTTTTCGCCTGCAACCGGCGAGTTGCTTACGAAAGTCTCAGCAACCGGTTGCGAGCAGGCGCCGTGACGGGCTCGACTCCCTCGCCGTGCGCGGGCGACGATCGTCCCGGCAATTCGTGGTCTGCGCCCCTCGCCCGGCTCGTCGCCCGTCGTGGCTGCGAGTGCGCGACCGGCCGCTACGATCTGCGATCCACCCCAACGCGACCGGCCGCTCGGACGCGGACAAAGGTCTGGTGTCATCACCAGACAGATTCTAAAAGTGAATTGATTTTTGTTTTAACCCAACGAAGCCCCCAAGAGGTGGAGCGCCGGTGCGATGGATCGCGGGCACTGCAGTTTGGTATTCATATTCTTAGTTTTTTTTGGTAAAGTCACGTAGGTAAAAAATTTAAATTAATATTTAACTTTTATTAATTTAAATATTTTTACCTACGTGACTTTACCGAAAAAACATAAGAATATGAATACCAAACGTAAAATATTAATTTTAAATTTTTTACCTACGTGACTTTACCGAAAAAACCTAAGCATATGAATCCTTGCAGTCACGAAAGCTTCGAATCTAGAACTGCAGTTTGGCTCCGCGGCTACGTCGGCGAACCTACCGCGACCTCCTCGCGACCCGATGACCCGCGCACTCACATGCAGGCCACGCCCCAGTGGTGGCCGGCGCTGGTAGCGGCCGAGCGCACGAGCGAGAGGCCGATGAGCGCCACGGTGGGCGCGATGGAGAGCGGCCCCACCAGGCGCAGCAGCCAGCCCATCGCGCCCGAGCAGCCCAGCAGCATTTGGAAGCACGAGGCCACCATGATGGCGCCCTGCAGCTGTAGGGGTGAGGCAGGTGAGAGGTGAGTGGATAGGGAGATTGAGGAGAGGGTGAGACAGGGCAGAGGGGGGAGAGGGGCAGAGTGAGCAATGGAGGGAGACAGGGGAGTAGAGGGTGGCAAGTCATGGTGAGGAGAGAGGGAGAGAGTGGGAGAGGGAATGATAGATTCGTGGGAAGGGAGAGAGTGATAGAGGTGAGTGGATGGCAGATGGTGAGGATGAGGAAAGAGGCAGAGCGATACACTTCCTATGATGATCTAGACGATCATGGTTAACGATCATGAGATGATTATGACGACGACGATGATGATGGCAACGATCATGAGATGATTATGACGACGACGATGATGATGATAACGATCATGAGATGATTATGACGACGACGATGATGATGGTAACGATCATGAGATGATTATGACGACGACGATGATGATGGTAACGATCATGAGATGATTATGACGACGACGATGATGATGGTAACGATCATGAGATGATTATGACGACGACGATGATGATGGTAACGATCATGAGATGATTATGACGACGACGATGATGATGGTAACGATCATGAGATGATTATGACGACGACGATGATGATGGTAACGATCATGAGATGATTATGACGACGACGATGAAGATGATGATGATGGTAACGATCATGAGAGGATTACAACGACGATGACGATCATGGCAACGGCCGTGAAACCACCACGACAGCGATCACGGCAGCGATGACGATCCGATCACGACGATGACGTTCACCAACCTCGCAGATTCGAGCCTGCCAGGAGATGGCGGTGGCGGACGCCGCCGTGTGGTTGAGTCCCGGGGGGGCCACCCCCCTCCACCCGGTGGGGGGCCGCCCCCCCCTCGGCCCCCGCCTCCTCGCAGCGCCACTCGGGCAGGGAGAGCAGCGCGACGCTGGGCACCAGGAACGTGAAGGTGCCACCCTGCACGATGGGCAGCCTGCACAAGGTGGGGGGGTGGGGGGCAGCGGAGGAGGGCATCACGCGACGTTAGCTGCCGATCGGCAACGTTTATAGACTTTTGCGAACGTTCAGCCAACGTTCAGTAACGTTCGCCAACGTTTGGCAACGATTACCAACGTTGAGCCAACGTTCCCCAACGTTCAGCAACGATTACCAACGTTCACCAACGTTGAGCTAACGTTCGCCAATGTTCACCAACGATTACTAACGTTCACCAACGTTGAGCTAACGTTCGCCAACATTCGCCAACGTTCACCAACGTTCACCAACGTTCACCAGCGTTCGCCAACGTTCAGCCAACGTTCACCAACGTTGAGCTAACGTTCGCCAACGTTGAGCATAACCGTTACCGCCAATGTTGAGCTAACGTTCACCAACGTTGAGCTAACGTTGAGCTAACGTTCCCCAACGTTCACCAGCGTTTCCCAACGTTCCCCAACATTGAGCTAACGCTCACCAACGTTCGCCGACCGCGGGCCAGACGATTTCCACAGAGGGACAAGCTGCCGTTCGTAGGTCCCCTGGGCAGGGCTCGGCAAGCTGCTGCCCCTCCGTTAGCGCACACCACACGCGGCTGCTCTTGGAGGGCCCTGCTTCACGACGTCCTTCATCGTGGTGAGGACAAAGCGGGCCTTCATGACGAACCCCCGCCTCGTGGTGACGACGAGACGGCGGTCCGTGATGAAGGCCCCGCTTCACGACGTCCTTCATCAAGGACCGCCGGCCTCGTGGTGACCACGACACGGCGGTCCGTGATGAAGGCCCCGCGTCACGACGTCCTTCATCACGGACCGCCGCCTCGTGGTGACCACGAGACGGCGGTCCGTGATGAAGGCCCCGCTTCACGACGTCCTTCATCAAGGACCGCCGCCTCGTGGTGACCACGAGACGGCGGTCCCGTGATGAAGGCCCGCTTCACGACGTCCTTCATCAAGGACCGCCGCCTCGTGGTGACCATGAGACGGCGGTCCGTGATGAAGGCCCCGCTTCACGACGTCCTTCATCAAGGACCGCCGCCTCGTGGTGACCACGAGACGGCGGTCCGTGATGAAGGCCCCGCTTCACGACGTCTTCATCAAGGACCGCCGCCTCGTGGTGACCACGAGACGGCGGTCCGTGATGAAGGCCCCGCGTCACGACGTCCTTCATCACGGACCGCCGACCCATGGTGACGACGAGACGGCGGTCCGTGATGAAGGCCCCGCGTCACGACGTCCTTCATCACGGACCGCCGACCCGTGGTGACGACGACACGGCGGTCCGTGATGAAGGCCCCGCGTCACGACGTCCTTCATCACGGATCGCCAACTCGTGGTGACGACGAGACGAGCGGTCCGGTGATGAAGGCCCCGCGTCACGACGTCCTTCATCAAGGACCGCCGCCTCGTGGTGACACGAGACGGCGGTCCGTGATGAAGGCCCCGCGTCACGACGTCCTTCATCACGGACCGCCGACCCGTGGTGACGACGACACGGCGGTCCGTGATGAAGGCCCCGCTTCACGACGTCCTTCATCACGGACCGCCGACCCGTGGTGACGACGACACGGCGGTCCGTGATGAAGGCCCCGCGTCACGACGTCCTTCATCACGGATCGCCAACTCGTGGTGACGACGAGACGGCGGTCCGTGATGAAGGCCCCGCGTCACGACGTCCTTCATCAAGGACCGCCGCCTCGTGGTGACCACGAGACGGCGGTCCGTGATGAAGGCCCCGCGTCACGACGTCCTTCATCACGGACCGCCGACCCGTGGTGACGACGACACGGCGGTCCGTGATGAAGGCCCCGCTTCACGACGTCCTTCATCACGGATCACCATCTCGTGGTGACGACGAGACGGCGGTCCGTGATGAAGGCCCCGCGTCACGACGTCCTTCATCAAGGACCGCCGCCTCGTGGTGACCACGAGACGGCGGTCCGTGATGAAGGCCCCGCGTCACGACGTCCTTCATCACGGACCGCCGACCCGTGGTGACGACGAGACGGCGGTCCGTGATGAAGGCCCCGCGTCACGACGTCCTTCATCACGGACCGCCGACCCGTGGTGACGACGACACGGCGGTCCGTGATGAAGGCCCCGCGTCACGACGTCCTTCCTCACGGATCGCCATCTCGTGGTGACGACGAGACGGCGGTCCGTGATGAAGGCCCCGCTTCACGACGTCCTTCATCACGGATCGCCATCTCGTGGTGACGACGAGACGGCGGTCCGTGATGAAGGCCCCGCTTCACGACGTCCTTCATCACGGATCGCCATCTCGTGGTGACGACGACACGGCGGTCCGTGATGAAGGCCCCGCTTCACGACGTCCTTCATCACGGACCGCCATCTCGTGGTGACCACGAGACGGCGGTCCGTGATGAAGGCCCCGCGTCACGACGTCCTTCATCACGGACCGCCGCCTCGTGGTGACCACGAGACGGCGGTCCGTGATGAAGGCCCCGCGTCACGACGTCCTTCATCAAGGACCGCCGCCTCGTGGTGACCACGAGACGGCGGTCCGTGATGAAGGCCCCGCTTCACGACGTCCTTCATCACGGACCGCCGTCTCGTCGTTACCACGACGCGTCGTCACCACGACGCATTGTGGCTCCTGAGATCGTGAGGGTCGTTTTATTTTTTTTTCCGAAATTCGATCTTTTAAAAAAATGGCTCTGCTTGTTATTTTGCTTTGCCCCCGGGCTAACAAACTGTGCTCGGAGACGTTTTGATACGTAATTTACGTAATTTATATTACGTATCAAAACGTCTTATTATTACAATAAAGATTTTTTTAATACTCCACAAATTAATCGTGGTTGTGCGATCGGTACCACCACCCCCCTCCCCACAACACCCCCAGATGTTACTGAATTGGCGCGCTGAAGAGGATATCACAGAACAACTTCTGAGATTCCTTAGAATATTTTACACACCGCACCAGGTACTCATTTGAGGCTGAGTCGACCTAGGGGTGGACCAGGACCGGTTCAAATCATCGTCACCGGTGTTGGCCATGAGCGCGAATCGAACTCGGGTCACCAGGTTCGTAGCGCAGCGCTCTAAACGCTACACTACCGCTCCCCCACACACATACACACATACACACACTGTTGACAATAATCCTACAGCTACAGATGATTCAACTCCCATGGCCATGTACCCCAGATCCCCCCCCATCATCACGTGGGGTCTTAATCTCCCCCCCCCCCCCCCCCCCCCCCCCGGCAATGGCTGAGACCCCTGCTGCACAGAGGAGCCATTCATGGGCCCCTAGGCATGGGATCAACAGGAGGGGGAGGGTTAGCATAGCCAAAGAGGTCCATAATGGCCGTGTCGTTTCAGGGTATGTAAAGAGGATATAATTATGGCCTGAGTACAAAGGTGGAGGAGACCCGGACACGGATCCTGCACCGCTGGGGCTCTTGGGGGCTCCAGTCCGAGTTTTAGCAGCCGCCCACACGATTACACGCTCGTTCACTGAGTTGGTGGCTCAGCCTTGTCATGGGTACCTTACATAGAGACTTATAGACATAGAGACCCATAGACATAGAGACCCATAGACATAGCAAGCCATAGACATAGAGACCCATAGACATAGAGACCCATAGACATAGAGACCCATAGGCATAGAGACCCATAGGCATAGAGACCCATAGGCATAGAGACCCATAGCCATAGAGACCCATAGGCATAGAGACCCATAGGCATAGAGACCCATAGGCATAGAGACCCATCGGCATAGAAACCTATAAGCAGAGAGACCCATAGGCATAGAAACCTATAGACATATAAACCTATAATCAGAGAGACCCATAGGCATAGAGACCCATAGGCATAGAAAGCTATAGGCATAGAAACCTATAGGCATAGAGAGCCATAGGCATAGAAACCTATAGACATAGAGACCCATAGGAATAGAAACCTATAGGCGTAAAAACCTATAGGTATAGAGACCCATAGGCATAGAAACCTATAGGCATAGAGAGCCATAGGCATATAAACCTATAGGCAGAGAGACCCATAGGCATAGAAACCTATAGGCATAAAAACATATAGGTATAGAGACCCATAGGAATAGAAACCTATAGGCATAGAGACCCAAAGGCATAGAAACCTATAGGCGTAAAAACCTATAGGTATAGAGACCCATAGGCATAGAAACCTATAGGCGTAAAAACCTATAGGTATAGAGACCCATAGGCATAGCGAGCCATAAGCTCGCATCGGGAGACCGGTAGACTTACATTGCGACTCATGGACTTATATAGAGACCCACAGAATTACAGAGAGACCCGTAGACTTACATTGACACCAATGTAGACTCACACTACCGGGAAAGCATCCCAAACTCGATTATAATTTGCGGGAATAAAAGTTAAAAATAAAAGTTACAAATATAAGCTAAAATCACGAGAATGACTGACTTGTGCGTGTCCTTCTGAATGCTGTGAAGTCAGGGACGTGACCTGACCTAGCCCGACACGCCCGATAATTTCTGGGGTGACGCTGGCGTTATTATTATTATTATTCACGATGGTGGCGTTGATTATGTCTCTGTGTACGGGCACTGCTGCAGGAACGCGTTAACCGCAGAAGCCCCGCGGTGGATTCGCGAATAACTCGGCCGCAGTCTCTCGTGACGCGGCCACGTGTGTGTCATCGGCCTTCCGCTACGCTTCTTCAATGTCATGGTCACGATCGCGGGCTGGGACCTCTCCGCTGCCTGATTGCGGACGAAGCCAGCTGTATTCCACCATGCTGTCGAGTCAAGTCCATTGATTTATTTTTGGGGCGGGCGCCCCTGGTGTGAATCGGCCACCCAAAGCGCCATCAACATCTGTCTGTGCACACACGTACCGACGGACGTAAAACAACGCCACCGTCCCTGCCCCGCGTGTGCAATTATTGCGGTGCACCATCTGCCGCCCAGCTTCTGAATCCACCTTGGGAGCGTCGCGTTCCATTACGCCACCATGTTCTCAGCAGGTGAGAACCTTCTAGCGGCCTTCGTGGCATCATCGGCAGCGCGTCATCCCGCCTGTTGACCGAGCGGATCGGTGGTTCAAGTCCTAACCCCGGAATGAGTTTTTTTTTATTCGGAGCCATACCCCCTGGCTCGCCAGGAGAGGGCAGTGCAGCACAGTGTGGACTCCCATCTGTTCCATCTGCACGGGAAACGGTGTTTGCCTCTCTGGCTTTCCTCTGGGTCGCTCTGGTTTCATCCTTCACGTAAAAACTCGTTATTATTTCGATGAAAACTACCGTCATATACACAGGACAGCAGAGCTTGGGATGGGGTGGGGCGGGAACAGGCGTGAGGATTTGGTGCCGGCTCATGGATAGAATTCGTGACTGAAGGAACCGACGTAGCCACGCCCCTCCTGCCCGCAACAGAGCGATGTCCTTGAGGCCCGCTGAGGCTTCCCGGCGTAAGCATAGGGCAGGGCCTGCGTGTCATTGTCCACGTTCCAAAGCAATAAAGAGTGGGGGGGGGCGGAGGAGGAGGACGCGAGACCGCAGCACCGGATTTGGCACCGCCATGGGGCACCGCTGCACGAGGAACCGCGTTTAGAGATGCGGTTGGAGCGCCGTCAAAGGGAGCGTGTGGGGTGCGGGGGAGAGACACGAGACGATCCCACCCCCTCGCTAGCTGACGCCCGGCACGGCATGGGGTGGATCGACCCGTACCATCTACTCATCACACGCATCCATCACTACCATCCACTCATCCATCACCACCATCCATCCATCACTACCATCCACTCATCCATCACCACCATCCATCCATCACGACCATCTACTCATCCCGCGTATCTATCACTACCATCCATTCATCCATCACCACCATCCATCCATCACTACCATCCACTCATCCATCACCACCATCTATCCATCACGACCATCCACTCATCCCGCGTATCTATCACTACCATCCATTCATCCCTCGCATCCATCACTACTATCCACTCATCCATCACCACCATCCATCCATCACTACCATCTACTCATCCATCACCACCATCCATCCATCACTACCATCCACTCATCCATCACCACCATCCATCCATCACTACCATCTACTCATCCCACGCATCCATCACGACCATCCATTCATCCCTCTCTTCCATCACGAACACCTGCTCATCCCTCTCATCTATCTATCCCTCTCATCCATCACAACCGTCCAATCAAACATCTCAAACGAGCGGTGACGGGGTGCTCGTTTTCCGTTTACATCCCTGCAGCCAGTGATTACAATTCGACATTCCTATGGCGGATCTTCTCCACAAGGTGGTGTCTATTCTTTCGACCCTGGTGGCAGGGATGATGGGTTGAGTCAACCCCTCCTCCACCAACCAGGACTCACGACCATCTGATTGCCGGCCACCATCACTCTGGTCCACCAGTCCATCACATCCATCGCATCCATCGCATCCATCATGTCCATCGCGTCCATCGCGTCCATCGCATCCATCGCCATAAACAAACGCCTCTCTCGAATCCACCACCGACCTTCGTCCCTCAAACCCACCTCTCACATCCACCTGTGCTTAGTTTGTCGTTCTGCCCCCGCACCTCCGATTAGCACGGTTGGCTACATACGCGCTAAAGAAAGTTTAACGCACGCACGTACATAACAAAGCGAATGTATTTCTCAACGTCTAATTTAAAATCATTGCAGTTTTACGTCATCAGTTTTTCTTCCGATTCAGTTCTGATGACGTACGTGTACATCATCGAAACGAAGCCAGAAAATTTTAATAAAATTACTTTACCAGTACCAAGGCTCCCACAAGGCCATGCGGGAGGGCGTGTGGCACAGTTTGGCGCCAGCTATGATAGAGTGTGGTTGCATCACTACAGTTCTCTGCGGTGAGTAAAAAGTCTTTAAAAAGGTATAAGCCAGGATCTATCCACGTCTCGATGAAGGCCTCCCCAAATCATCGCCATCTCTAACGGTCATACCATGTGAAACCGCATCTACCTTACCCTCACCTGACACCCACCTCATCTGACGCTCACCCCCGTACCTGACTCTCACCTGACCCTCACCCCCTAAACTGAATATCACCCTCTCACCCGACACCCACCCGCACCCACTCACCTGACCCCTGACCCCCTGACCTGACACCCACCTCCTAACTTGACCCTCAACCCCTCACCTGACCTTTACCCCCCCCCCGCACCGCCCTCGCCACCCCCCCCCCTCTCCTCACCTGATCCCGACGGTGGCCTGCAGCAGAGTGCACATCCCGGACACGAAGAGGATGGTGCTGACGAGGTGGCTGCGCACCTCGTCGCCCGGCTGCCCGGGCGGGACGCAGAGGAACCGCGACAGCAGCAGCGGGATGGCCACGAGGCCCCCCATGGCCGTCACGCAATGCTGCCCCCCGTCACGTGATGGCGGCGTGGGGAGGGGCGGGCGGGGGGGGCAGAGTCACAGTTAGGGGTTTGGTAGAATTTTGCCGGGCGGTGGCGATGGGGGTGGTAGTTGTGGCGGTGGTGACAATGGTGGCGGTGATGGCGGTGTTAGTAGTGGTGGTGGTGGCGGTGGTCACAATGGTGGCGGTGGTGGCGGTGGTGACGATGGTGGTGGTGGCGTTGGTAGCGGTGGTAGTGGTGGTGATGGTGGCAGCAGTGGTGATGGTAGTGGTGACAATGGTGGCGGTGATGGCGGTGGTAGTAGTGGTGGTGGCGGTGGTCACAATGGTGGCGGTGGTGGCGGTGGTGACGATGGTGGTGGTGACGTTGGTAGCGGTGGTAGTAGTGGTGGTGACGGTGATGGTGGCAGTGGTGGTGATGGTAGTGGTGACAATGGTGGCGGTTGTGTTGGTGATGGCGGTGGTGACGGTGGTGGTGGCAGTGACCATGGTGGTGGTGGCATTGGTAGCGGTGGTAGTGGTGGTCACGGTGATGGTGGCAGTGGTGGTGATGGTAGTGGTGACAATGGTGGCGGTGGCGGTGGTGTTGGTGATGGCGGTGGTGACGGTGGCGGTAGTGACGGTGATGGTGGTGACAGCGATGTTCGTGTCTACGCCGCTGCACGTGGCCGCCTGCAGTGACCTAGCGCTGTGGAGGCAGCAGCAAGGGTTGGCGGATCACACACAGCTGGTGTTGTGAAACTCCCTTCTTACCGCGGGTGCCTCGCTCTGCCAGAAGGCAGTACAGCAAATTTTGACTAATCTACATCTGGGTTAGAAATATTAAATAGCAGTGGATTTCAAACCCTGAATATTGAATGGTAAAATCTGAAGGCTAAATATTTGATAATAGCTTGGGTAGGGTTAGGGGTCAGGGTTCGAAGGTTATTGCCAGTGATAGGGGGTTCGGGTCAGGGTTAACATTGGTGCTAGATTTAGACTTGTGGGTTCCGGTTATTTGTGTAATTTTTGCTAATCGGCGGTGAACGTGCCCGAGGAGACGTCCGCAGCGGACATGGAGCCTGTGTGTAGGCCGAGGGTGGATCACTCCATCGTGTGCCCAGGAGAGATGGCGACAGCTTGGGGGTTGGGGGACCTTCATCCAGCAGTGGATTGATCATGGCTTTTGCTGCCGCCGCTGATGATGATATTTGGTGATAAGGGGTAGTGTTTAACCTTGAGGGAGGTTGGGCACTGGTGCCATGAGGAAGTGGATAAGGTGATGGTTGCAGTTATGATGAAGAAGGCTGGGCCATGAAGAGGTGGATGAGGTGATGGTTGTAGTTATGGTAAAGATGGCTGGGCCATGAAGAGGTGGATGAGGTGATGGTTGCAGTTATGATAAGATGGCTGGAGCCATGAGGATGTGGCTGGAACCATGAGGAGGTGGATGAGGAGGTGCTGCGTAGTCGCACCTGTAGGCCAAGGAGCACGCAGAGAGGCCATGGAGGCGAGTCCAGGATGGAGTAGGCGAGCCGTGGACGAGGGGGTGACCTGGGCGCAAAGACAAAGATCCCCCGTGTGTAATAATGTTCCAGGAGACTTGGACGCCGGGGTTGGAGGCACACGTATTTATTCAGTGTCGGGTACAGCACAACACTGGACATACAACACTGGAGGGGGTATCGGCCCCCTCACCCGTCTACTGGGAATACACCCTCTAGCTACGCCTAGCCTACCTCTTGGTCCTCCACTAACGGGCTAGGGGAGGCTAGCTAGCCCGACACTGGTAAGTCGGGCTCACGGTACCGGAGTCCCAGACCAGCTCTTACAAGCGCACCGGCTCTGGCTCTCGGGACCACGCCGCTGGCCGATCACTGTTCGGCCCCTGATAAGGGTAGCGATCCAGGGGAGTCCACGGCTCTATCTAGACGATCTTCTGTCTTCACTGGTTAGCTTCAACATCTCTCCTTGAGCCCTCCGGCTCATGGCTCATCCCCTTTTATATCAAACCCCCGCTGAGGGGTGGGGCCCCGGGGGATCCAGCTCCGAGTCAGCCCCCCAGGCTGCCCGAGAGCGGGACGTCGCTGGGAGCACCTTCCAGTTGCACCGACATAGCCACGCCCACTGTGTTCTTTCCCGTGTGATCCCATTGTATAACAGCCCCCTCCGTAACACCCCTACATCACCACCCCCCCCCCCCCCTGTACAGCTGGCAGCCGTCCCGGCTGCAACAAAACAACATTAAAGTGTATTTACCCCTTGAACCCGCGGTGCCTCACAATTTTTTTCAACAATAACGACAACAGAACAACAACAAGAACAACAACAGCAAGAAGAGAAAATAACCCGACGCACCCCCCCCCCCCCCCCCGAATAAATACAATTCCGTAAGAGCACCATATATACAATTAGCAGGAAAATACACCACACACACAACACACAGTGAACACAACATATATACAATCCCTCCGGGCATCACAAGTCTGCGCATTTTCGCGCACGTTCTTGCAGCAAGGCCCCGTCACAGGGGCAACCCCGGATGGCGGATTGTTGGGTGGCAACCGTCCGTGTCTGGTGAGTCACTTTCTGTTGCCGCGTGACCCTCGGCATCCCAGGAGGGGTTGGCGGGCGGGAGCCCGTCACTCCCGGTGCACCTGGGGGCGGGGACAGCCGGCAGCACGTTAGGTGAGAGCAGCGGAGGCGGACCTGGAGTCGGCGGACCCCCCACATGTTTGGCACGCGTGTGTGAAGTGGGAACTCGGACCGCAACGACACGGTTTCAATCTGGCGGGGGCACAAACCACCGCCGCTTCCCCCATTTGATACGTACACACTGAGGCCGCAAAACCTGAACCACCTCCACAGGACCCCGCCACGGCCGCACCAGTTTAGAGGAGGTTGCAAGTGGTACTTGGGACAGTGTAACCATGCCCTGTCACCTGGTTTCCACTGCAGCACGTTGCGCCCGACCCAGCCTGAGCCTCTCGTTAGCCTTCTGGCGGAGGTCGGAATTTTGCATAGCAGCCTCCCGTGCCTCTGTTAATTTAGCAATATTGAATTTCACATGCGCGGCCAATTTAGATTTACCCCGCGGCGTGGAGACCTGCAGCTGGGTCTGAACAGGCGGGTCAGGTTCGCGGCCGTACATCAAGAAGAAGGGGGAAAATCCCGTCGCCGCATGGGAAGCATTCTATATGCTGCCAACACCCCTTGAATTTGAAGGTCCCAATCGGTCTGTGAGTCCGAGACCTGTTGGGACAGCATTGACGTGATGGTTCGATGCAGACGCTCCACCATCCCGTCATGTTTGCGGATGATATGGGGAGGTACGAATTTTTTTCGTTCCCAGGAGCTCACAGACCTCTTGGAGAAGTTTACCAGAAAAATGTTTGCACTGGTCGGTCAGCAGCCACTCCGGAGCACCTTTGTCCAGGACGTATCCCTGGAAAAAGGCCTCCGCGGATGGCTGCTGCCGACTGGTTGGCAAGGGGCCATGCCATAGGCCAGCGCGGTAAATATTCCACCTCCGGTCAACAGGTATCTGTTGCCCCTGGGGGTAGCGGGGACTGGGCCCCAGAATATCAAGCGCGACAAGCTCGTTGACCCTGGAAACTCTGATGGATTGCAAAGGCGGATTAGACTCCGTGCTGGTGGTTTACGTTGCGCACACCGAGGACATGACCCCAACAGATCTCCGAATCCTTGTCCATGCCCGGCCAAAAAACTCCAGCTGGAGCATGGCGAGGGTCTTTTGAGTCCCCAGGTGGAGGAGGACGCTCATGCGCGGCCCACACAACCTTACCCCGCAAAACAGAAGGGACCACTAGCCGGTGTCGATGGGATCTCCCGTCCCAATGCATTAACAGACCCTGGACCATCTCCCATGAGTCGACATCACCCCTCTCCCGCCCAGCACTTCCGACGCGACGACGCAACGCGAGGAGGGAGGTGTCCTCCATCTGGAGGCGCCCCCATTCAGCAACAGGCAACCCCAGCAAGGAATCTTTTCCCTGTTGTGCAATCGAACCCGTCATCGACGTTGCGTCAGCGGTGGCCGCCAGGACCGGAACGGACATGTCACTCGGAGGCCTGCAACGCCCCGACCCCAGGAGACATGCGCATTCGGAGGTGGTTGGCAGCCGTGACAGAGCGTCCGCATTGGTGTGGCGAACGCCCTTACGGTACGTAGTTTCGAAATCGAAGTCCTGGAGAATCTCCAACCATCGAGACAATTGTCCCGATGGTTGTTGAACTCGCAGGGCGTACTGTAGTGCCGCATGATCTGTGCGGACGGTGAAATGCCGACCGTACAGATATGGGCGATACTGTTGGATAAAGTTAATTACCACAGTTCCCGACGGGTGACACAATATCTTTGCTCCGCTGGAGACAACACCCGACTACTGTACGCTACTACCCGTTCCACGCCATCAACCACCTGCGAAAGCACGCCCCCAATTCCCGTGTTGCTCGCGTCCGTGTCGAGCAAAAGGGTTTGGAAAAATCAGGGTAAACCAAAGGAGGAGCCTTTACCAGAGCGTCCCGGAGGGATCGGAAAGCAGCCTCCTCCTCCTGTCCCCAGTGAAACCGGACCCCCTTCGATGTCAAAGCATGTAAGGGCTTTGCAATCGTTGCACAATCCGCGACAAAACCGTCGGTAATACGACGCGAATCCAACAAAACTCCTGACCTCTCCCACAGAGGTGGGAGTTGGCCAGGAGCTGACACACTGCGTTTGGCGGGATCGGTAGCAATACCTGAGCGTCCGACGATATGTCCCAAATAACGCACAGATTCGCGTAACAAATGACACTTCTGGGGTTTAAATTTCAAATTATCAGCCGCATTTTGAGGAAAACCGCCCGCAAACTCTGGAGATGTTCGTCGATTGTTTTGCTAAAGATGATAACGTCATCCAATAAATCAAGCACGAGTCCCATTGGTAACCCAGCAAGACCAATTCCATCAATCGCTGGAAAGTTTGCCGGCGCTGAGTGGAGTCCCA